TGCTCCGCCGTTATTCTGCTTTCGCTCACCGTTTACTTACTCTTCACCAGCTTGTGTTTAGCGTTCACCTACCGTTAACTCGCCGTTCGCTAACAATCAAGTGGAGAAGTAGAACCTTTCAGTGACTTTACGTTCCTTTTCAATTATTGAAGCTGAAGACTGAAGAATAGATGGTTTTCATATTACCCCTCAACCGTTTAATGATTTGTAGTAATTACCCCATATAATATTGTTGGTTATGTGCAGATACCCGATGGGCGTAGTCTTAATGACACGAGAGAGCGTAGCTCCCGAGTTGTCAATATGACCACGCCCATCGGGTGTACCATAGTTAACTTAAATGACTGTGGGATCACTGAATAAAAATTTAAAAGAGACAGATTATTTTGTTTTAATTTAATTCTTGGAATAGTTGAAAATGTGAAAACAAAGTACATGTATAATTAGTCTCAGATAAACAAATCCTAACTACTCTCCCATAAACAGATTGTAATTACTCTTGCATAAACAAATCCAGAATACTTTCACAAAAACATTGTATTTACTATTCCATAAACAAACCGTATTTACTCTCAAATAATTACTCTCGTATGAACAAATAATTACTCTCGTATAAACAAATTATAATTACTCTCACATAAATAAAAAATTACTCTGTAATTACTTATAATTGAATTTGAGAACTTATCATACTTCATTCTTTGTTGTATACAATTGTGTAAGACATAATTTATAAAAAAAAATATTTTTAAAGGAGTTTGTGCATCTGGAATACTGCAGATTCAACATAGAATTAATGTATTTAATGTTTGGACTATTAAAATAAAAAAATTATTATAAGTATATTTATAGTTTTCTGAAGCTTGATTTTGAAGTCATATTACTCAAAGATTGATACAACAATGTCATTATTAAAATAATTTTTAAGTCAAGGTCCATTTAATACCTTAACATAAGAATAAGTGTAAAAATTGGAAAACATTTTAAATCTCTCTTTTGCTAACGGAGGCAAATGTTTAAATAAAATAAAAGATTATGATAATATAATATATAATGCCGTGTTTAATTGTATTTAATTGTATTTTCGAAAAATTCTATTCAAAATCTTGATTTACACCCCCCTCCCACTAATTTATGATTTTCGAGTTAAGGCAATTTATTTTTATTTATTTGTTCTTCAAAGATTTTTATGTGTCAACTTTTTTTAGTTTTTTAATGTAACCCCCCCCCCTTCTTTAAAAAAATGTTACAATCTGAATTTAAAATTTTAATTTCATTGATTATCTTAAAGCGCTTCGAAAAATACTATTTTATAAACGCTCTAGATATTCTGTATCTACTTAAATGCATTATTTAAGAAAATTGACCGAAACGGTTACGTAAAACAAGTAAATGACCTGAAAAACGTAAAGCGCGGAATTCAGCGACTTATCTGATTGGCTAGCCGCTACAGTTCTTCATCCTGTCCGAGAAACAAGTTTATTGTTCGAACTTGTTCTTATTAGGTGACTTAGTTTTCATAAAATCACTATACATGATCCCCGTATTTCTACTAACACGTGGTTTTTGACTTTTTTGGACACATGGAAGAGAATATGGAAATAGAAAGTCTTTGGGACAATACCATTGACGACATTAGCTTGTCTCAAGCTACAAACGAAATTGAATGCGAATAATTATTAGGGCCCCGCTCTGCGGGCGGCCTATAGTGATCAGTCTGTCCGTCCGTCCATCCGTTCTTCCGAGATCTCTTGTCCTGAGCATATCTTCTCTCTCCTTGGCCCAATCTGGCTCATACTTCACCCACAGAGTGTCTTTGGGTAAAGGGTGTGCAGTGACTTTGAACCATGTTTCTAGGTCTAAGGATAAGGTCATGGCAGAATTATATGAAAAATCCTTGCCCGGAGCATATCTTCTCTCCTCTTGGTCCAAAATGGCTCATACTTCACTCACAGAGTGCCACTGGTCACTGGATGTGCAGTGTTCTTGAACGAAGTTTCTAGGTCAGGGTCAAAACTAGCCCCTCTGTTTAAATTCTTGTCCGGAGCATATTTTCTCTCTCCTTGGCCCAATCTGGCTTATACTTCACCCAAATAGTGCCTTTGGGTAAAGGGTGTGCAGTGACCTTGAACCATGTTTCTAAGTCTAAGGTGAAGTCATAGCAGAATTATATGAAAAATCCTTGTCCGGAGCATATCTTCTCTCCCCTTGGTCCAATGTGGCTCATACTTCACTCGCAGAGGGCCACTGGTCACTGGATGTGCAGTGACCTTGACAAAAGTTTTTGTGTCAAGGTCAAAAATAGCCTCTCTGTTTAAAATCTTTGTTCGGTGCATAATTTCTTTCCCTTAAGTCCAGTCAGCCTCAAACTTTACGAATTGACATAGGGTACGGAACATTTGTGATTTTCCTTCCGTATTTTTTAATAGAGGATATGCAATAATTTTCATGGAGGATATGCAACATTCGTAATTTTTGTACCGTTTTTTGATAGAGGGTATGGAGCAGTACACAAATGTTCCGCTTCAAAATAAACCCTTTTCAGCTACCTTACATTTTCATGTTCGTTGCTGAAAGCGGGGCCCTTTGAGATGGCAACCATCTCAATGATATCTAGTTTGTAATTACAATTAATGTTTGTCGACATAATGAAGAAGGAAGTTTTTCTTTTAATTTGGTACAGCAAGTACAGATGATCATTTGATTAAAAAATTTCAGCTCGATTCTTCATTTTTTTCCCGCGTTTGTGGGTGTGGCTTATAGAAAAGTGTGGGTTATGTTCAGATAACCTACATTTTTAACAAAAGAAAAAAAAACAGCTAAATGGTACAATTTTCAATTCATTCAGACATAATTTCGATGCCCGGGTGGTGCAGCGATTAGAGCATTTGCTCTTGAGTTGCGGAGTAAGGAGTTGAACCTGAGTAAAATATAAGATTAATTATCAGATACTATACTAAGTGGGGGAAAGCATTAAATACAAGAAATAATACCCGAAGTGAGCGACAAAAGAGCGGCGGCGTAAATCGAAGGTTTTTACAACGCTTGGATCTGTATATATAGCTCTCTGCTTTGTCTGTCCGAATTTTCTTAAGCAGAAAGCTACAGTTCTTCAGCTAGTTATATACACAGAACTTACCGGTAATCAAAGGAAGAGGAAATTCGGGATGTTTTCCCTCGCAATGACATTACACATAATGATGACGCCCAAAAATACCGGGCACTTCCGTCTCAGCTGGTGCAAACCAACAAAATTGACCCTAGATGCGGATGATTTAATCGAAATATTTACAAATCGGGGGCACATAAAAATTAAATGGAAATATGAAAAGGGAGAAGAATGTATACCAAATTTATTATGCATATTCCATGTTTTCTTATGCTTTAGATAAATAATCACGCGATCTTTAAGCGAAGAGAGAAAAGAGTTGCAAGCCTTCTCTCTTTTTATGTAACAGTCGAAAAACAGCTTTAGAGACAAAAGGGTTACATTATCGATAACATATACTGTACGTGTACATAAATTGGCGTACTTAAAATTTAGCGCAATAGCTTGGTGAGGAGTTGTTTGCGTAATCATGAATTAGCGCTGCATGTATTGTACTTATTAATGAATTTTTAGCAGGATTAATGAATTAGCGCATCATTGTCCGCGCCAAAGCCGCTAAAATATGAAGTCCGCTTTAATAAGCACACATACAGTAGTGCATATTAGAATACAAAAATAGGAAAAAGGTGACATGATCCCAGATTTAAAAAGAAAAAAAATGGAAAAGGGGGGGGGGGTTCCATACCCCAAATGCCTGTGGTTTTTGTGATTAAAAAGTTTGGAGGCAATAGTCGATTATATTTGTAAGCATTACAAGGCGTGGACAGGGTGTGGACTTCAACTTGAAATACGATGAAATACAAGACTGGACTCTTTTGTGTGTAAAAAGATTAGCACTGTTTACTGGAAAAGGGGGGGGGGGTGTTGTAGGATCTTTTGAATAGTTCGATTAAGAGATTTCCCTATCCAACTTTTGAAATGTATATCATTTGTACAGTTAATCCTATTGTTTTATTTATGGAGATGTTCATTGATGAAGCAAGCTGAAAAGGGTTAGGATCTCAAAGAACATTTAAGACATTGGGAAATAGTAAAGATAATGCAATATAATATAGCATTTGGATTTAACCTCCTGTCTTCAGAGTATATCATGACTGAACCCTTCGTTACACCATTTAATGAAGATATTTTTTTCATTTAGACCACTGGTACATGTAGAGCAATCGCTCCGCTATTAGTTGGGAGGTCGTGAGTTTGTTTTCCGGCCACGACAAACCTAAATCGCAAAAATATAGGTGGCAGGTGTTCCTTCGCCTAGTGCTGAGTACTTTGAAATGAAAGTGGTGAGTCTTTCGAATGAGACCTTGAAAACTGAAGTCTAGCACGGCAGGCGTTAGCAAGATAAAGAACCATAACTCTGAGTGCGAAGTGAAATTCTAATATGAATGCCTTCACTGGCCTCCAGTGACGTCTCATAAAAGTTAAAGTCCTGCAAACGATATAAAACTACCATTCATTAATCAGTATTAATTCAGCCCACTCATCTCTACATACAACGGCATCATCAATGGCAGAATAGAATTTCCGGGGGTCCGTGTCTTATGCCCTGTTCACATATTTAACGTAAATTTTGTAGAGATCAATCACTGTTCATTTTAGCTTGTTGCTGCAAAAGAACTGAACAATAAATTTTATTTTAAAATGTTTCTCGAGAACTCCAGTTTAAATGCATCATTAACTTAAAAAAAAGAGCCACAGTGTAAGACTGTTCCTGGTCAGAAGATTGTGTGCATTTCATGATGTTTAACTATGAAATTAAGAGAGTAGATAGAAGTTAAAAAAGCTAATATAGAAATATTTTTTTAAACAATGTACTTAATAAATGAATATTTATTTGATACCCTTTCACATTTCAAAACACATTTCAAAATATTTATACGTTAATTTTCAGGAGGATGTTTCCATACGTCGAATTTTCTTTGAGAGGTGTAGATCCTGTTGGATTATATGATGTCATTTTTGACATCATACCCGCTAGCAACAAAAGCTTCAAGTTCCTTAGCAACAAATGGATTCCGATTGGGAAGAAGGAAGAAGAATTTAAGAATTATCCATTCAAACACCCAGACTCTCCTCGAATTGGATCGGAGTGGATGACTCGAAAGATTTCCTTTGAAAAAGTAAAATTGTCGAACAAACCAGGCACAAAGGCTGGAATCGTAAGTGATTATTGCTATGTTGTTGCAATAATAAAGCAAAAAGTTAAGAACACATATGATTAATGGAACCTAGAAAAGGCAAATGGTTTGATTAGATCTTACATACATATATCCATGAAGGAAAATCTTTTAGAAAAAAATTAATAAGCAAGCAATTGGTGCATTGAAAATCAGAACCAACCATATATGTAGATAGTCCAGTCCGTTGGTCGTTTTTGTATACCTTTCAAGTTATGCACAACTTTTTGACCAGTCCGTCAGTTCTGTTCTTGTCAGCGCAACTCCTTCAACCATCAGCCTAAACAGAATCCCATGAAACTCTGAAGTTAATAAGGACACGGTTTTTATATGTGCGTATTTGCATGAAATTTTAACCCAATTTTATGCTTTGGATTGTGTCCTTTTTAAACTAACAAATTTGTCTTCAATCTGTCCTGTTCTTGTCCGCGGCTAGGATTAGGCTGTCCGTAAAATATCACAGTGTACCAGCTATAGTAACTTCTCTGACTTACCTAGATATGACCTCATAATAGTATATGACGACAAGTCATGCAAACTTGAGCAGTCATGACGGGGAAAGTGTCATAATGAAATATATGGAGATAACGAACAGTATTTAAGCTCAAAAGTCCATTAAACATTACAAAATAGAGCAAACACGGACCTCCAAAACATCAGAGGTGGGATCAGGTGCCATAGAGGAGTGAGCATCCCTTGCCGACCGGTCATGATCGGGAAGTAACGGAAAAATCCGTCGACAATTCAGTGTGTAAATAATGGCCTAAAAATTAGTATGAAAAACGTCAGTTAGCATTTGACTCAATGATAAATTGTATTTGCTGATAAGGTCATTGTATCGACCATAGAACTTACGAAATGATGACTTTAAACGAGACAGCTGATATTCTTGTTTCATCAACTTGTTTGTTAATAATTTACCTCGTTTAAGAAATTGTACATAAGTAGAGCATGCTCTTGCGTATCGAATCACCTGAGAGATATATACCCCGTATGCAGGTGATGAAGGTATATTGCTGCATAAGTAAGGGAAGTTGACGATTGAAAAGTTAAAGTCATCACGTTTATCATAAAGCTTGGTTGTTAGATTACCATTAACGTCTTTTTCAAGTAAAATATCCAAATATGAAACAGATGTGTCAGACTCTGTAGTATCTTTTATCTCAAGCTCACCGGGATATATTGTATAGACATAAGAATGGAAATAACCATTGTTAATTGACAATACGTCGTCGATATATCTAAATGTCGAGTTGAACGCAACAGCAAGTGTTTTCTTCTTTTCACGTATAAGATTTTGGACAAATTCTGCTTCATATGAATACAAAAAAAGGTCTGCTAATAACGGGGCGCAATTGGTACCCATGGGAATTCCAGTATATTGTTGGACGACCTGGTCTCCAAAAACCACATAGATATTGTCAATCAGAAACTCAAGCATCTTTTTAATGTCAATTGCAGAGTACTTGTGTGTAAGAATGTTTTTAACAAAATGATTTTGCAAATGACCAATTACAAGGTAAGTAAACTTACGAGTTCCATTTTTATTGAAAAAGCAGCTGTCAATGATATCAAAAAGCCTGGATTTTAATTTATCATGGGGAATGGTGTAAAAAGTTGAAAAGTCGTAAGTTTTTAAGCTGTTGATTTTGGTAAAGTCTTGTGATTTCAAATTTTCCAAAAGTTCTTTGGAATTTTTAAGTATCCACATCTGATTTACACCACTTCTCGAATATATTGTTACTAGGGATGGCAACGAATATTCGAATATTCATTCGATGAGTTGATATTCGAATATGAATTTAAGATTCGAATATTCGGTGTTTTTCAGATTTCATAAAAAGAAGTACTGTGATTGATAAATTTGGATTGGAACAGTGCTGAGATTACCCCTGTTTAATTTACTAGCGATCAATTTCGATCGCCTGATTTCTTTCACTACTTTCTTATCTTATAATGCTTTATGTATGATACAAAACGTATTTTCATAGTTTTTTTAGTTAGATATAATCGGATCTAGAATCTTTAATTCTTTATTAAATAACTTTAAGACATACGGCCCATCAGTATACACAAAATAAACATAATTATAAACGCATGGTGAGAGTCTGCGGGGGGTGGAACCTCTAGTGTCCATCTGTCCGACTCCTCAACACCAACAATTACAGTAAGCATTATAAACTCTCCATTAATACATGAAAATTTAAAAATATCTATACATAATATACATATAAATTAAGTTATTCATCATTTCTTAATATCATTGCATGAAGAATGAATTTCCCTAATCCAACTAAAACACCAACATCAAGAGAGCTGAGTAAGCTTGTACATATTTGGAGATCTGAAATAATATGGTTTGATGTATTTTCTTCTTAAAGGATCATATGCAGGACATTCAAGCAAAAAATTATATTCATCTTCGATACGGTGATCATTACAAAATTGAAATATTCTATTACTTCTTTCTATTTTCTGATATCTTCCTGTTTCTATACTTAAGCTATGGGAAGAAAGCCTTATTTTAGTAATATACTTCTTTAACTTAGAATGAATAGGTTTTGTCAAATATGCATGGATTTTGGAAAAAATTGTCACACACAATGTGCTTATACAAGAAACACTTTGTTGAATTTTCAAAAAAGGCATTACAGTCTTGAAAGTAGATATCCAACAGTCTTTCCTTTTATAAAGATATAAACTGTGTTGGATTAATAAAATCTTGATTGATCCAAAAACTCCAAGTCCCATTCTAAACAACTCATCTTTAACATCCCTTGCCCATTTAAGTTTGGAATGTAATTTATTTTCAGCATTATACAATAAATATTCATAAGAAGATTTAAATATACAGTTATTTGTACGAAATAATTTACGCCAGTATTTCATAATTCTTATTTTCCTGGTTATGATTAATGGATAACGACCTAATTCACGATAAACCATATAACTACAAGTAGATCTTTTAACTCCTAGTAGGTTTTTACAAAACATAAGATGAATGCGCTCTATTTCAGGTGAATTGTGGAAGCCCCAAATCGAGGACAACGAAATGCAATCTTAGAATGTCTAAAAGGCGTGAAGAGTATAAATTAATTGATCATTGAATGGATGTCCGATAGAATTAGTCTAATTTTGTAAAGCTTGGTTGTTAGATTACCATTAACGTCTTTTTCAAGTAAAATATCCAAATATGAAACAGATGTGTCAGACTCCGTGGTATCTTTTATCTCAAGCTCAACGAGATATATCGTATCGAAATAAGAATGGAAATAACCATTGTTAATTAACAATACGTCGTCGATATATCTAAATGTCGAGTTGAAGGCCACAGCAAGTGTTTTCTTCTTTTCACGAATTAGATTTTGGACAAATTCTGCTTCATATGAATACAAAAAAGGTCTGCTAATAACGGGGCGCAATTGGTAACCATGGGAATTCCAATAGATTATTGGAAGACCTGGTTTCCAAAAACCACATAGATATTGTCAATCAGAAACTCAAGCATCTTTTTAATGTCAACTTCAGAGTACTTGTGAGTACAATCAGAATGTTTTTTAACAAAATAATTTTGCAAATGACCAATGACAAGGTAAGTAAATTTACGAGTTCCATTTTTATTGAAAAAGCAGCTGTCAATGATATCAAAAAGCCTGGACTTTAATTTATCGTGGAGAATGGTTGTGTATAAAGTTGAAAAGTCTTAAGTTTTTAAGCTGTTGATTTTGGTAAAATCTTAAGCTGTTGATTTTGGTAAAATCTTGTGATTTCAAATTTTCCAAAAGTTCCTTGGAATTTTGAAGTATCCACATCTGATTTACACCACTTCTCGAATATATTGTTGCACAGTACTCTTGAAGTTTCTCCTTCAATACTGTTTATATCTTAGTGAGGAGTAAAGAAAGAGGCTTGGTTGAACATATACTGGAACCCGCTATGTATCTTTGTTTGTAAGGATTTTTATGAAGTTTCGGAATCCAATATAAATATGGTAATTCAAATTCATTTTGGTTGTTTGGAACATTAAAAATATTCAAAACTGACATATGATTTTGAAGAATGTCTTCTTTAGAAAGGGAACTATGAGTATAAGTTAGATTACCACTTGTAAAATTAAATCTTAGTTTAAAAATGCAAGTTCCTCTAAGATACATTTAATATAATGAGCCTTACAAACAAAGACACTGTATAGGCAAGACCACGTCGCCGGAGTGAATTACAGAGGGACGGGTCGCCAGGCTACCATGACGGAAATGAGGGACGGAGAAGGCTAATACTGCATCCCCAGACCAATTCATGGCCGGTGAGGGGCACAAAAAGCAAAGAACATTTTTCCGGGTTTTTTTAATTCATTGTCCCCCGCTTTCGCCAAAGTGAGGGGACATCAAATCTCATTCGTCTATCCATCTGTCACAAAAACTTTAACCTTGGTCATAACTTTCGAATGAGAAAATATTGGACTTTCATATTACACATGTGCATTGGTGATAAGACATGTGCAAATATACTTTGCTTTTTGACCCCGTGACCTTGAAGTTCGACCTACTTTTCAAAAATTTTAAGATTACTATAAATTAGTCTTTACTTTTGAAGAGGAAAGATAGGGTTTTCATATTCATATGTATATTACCTGTAAAAAGAACTTTCTAAATATACTATGATTTTTTACTCTGTGACCTTGAAATTTGACCTACTTTTCAAAAACGTCATCTTTGCTAATAACGTTTGATTAAAAAAAGATAAGGCGTTTATATACCTGTGAAAAAGCCTTTTCAAATATGCTTTTTGACCCCTTGACCTTGAAGTTTGTCCTACTTTTCGCAAAATTTAACATTACTTTAAATTGGTCATAAAATTTGAATGAGAAAAGATAGGACTTCCATATGAAATATGTACATTATCTGTGACCTTTTCAAACACACTGTCGTTTTTGATCCCATGACCCTCACCTTGAAGTTTGACCTACTTTTCAAAAACTTTAT